TGTACAGCAGAGCGACACCCACTTGCCCACCTTTTTTTTTAGTGAATATTGAATATTATAATATCATTGCGATTATAAATACTAGTATTTATAAGCGTTATAGTGTTGTACACATTATAATTTTATTTACAGAAATCCCTTATTTTAATTTATTATGGCGAATATTGGAGTAATAATAATAATATATTATTTACAATTTTTCAATACCTACATGCTACCTATATGGTAACGGAGATTTTATAGGTAGTTTACCAAATGAGCTTAAAATGACCTTTTCATATACCAATAATTGCGCTCTACACATTTTAGGGCCGATGGACTCAGTGCCGGAGCAAACGTCGAGGCGAGTGTGGCTGTTATTTATAGTGCTCCCACCTGAATGAAACCAAAAAAAAAATTAAGTTCATTTTTGATCACTAGTCTTAGTGTTACCCAACATATACTAACAATGTATGAAAATTAAAAAAAGTTGACCGTAAATGGGCAAACCATTTTTGGTATAAAATAACTTGGTATTTATATTATTTTAAAACCACACTTCTGTGGAGTGATGGCAGAACTGATTTGTACATTTTCTGAACTCAGTTTGGCCTCTCCATATATAATTCAAATAATGGCAAATCAGTTTTGGTCTTTGCACATGATGGCGCCACACATATAATAAAGACATATTATCATATTTTTCCACCACTTGAAGTATACGATTTCTAAACTATTTAAACGATAATTCAAAAATTAACAAAATGTATAAATCAGCTTCTGCCGTCTTTCCACAGACTTATAGTTTCAATATCCAGTGTCTCATATTTTGTGATCAAACGTAAAAAAAAATACCTAGTCTATATACTGTAGTATCTTTTCGAAAAAGTTGAATCAATCTATTGTGTCTAGAAGTAAACACTAATATTACCTATATACTTTTTTCATGTATCATGCCCGTCCCAGCCCATAACTCGCTTGAGAATTATTATATTGTAATAAAAAATCAGCATCCCAACGCATATTATAAATGTTGAAACATTCCAGACTCGACTGGTTGTTGGTTTTCTTTTTTTGTTCTACCGAGCATGTTTACAGTCTAAATTTTGATAAATAATTATTATTTATGCGCAAAATGAAACATCAATTTATTATTGCCTTTTCGAAAATCTCCAAGTCGTATCTAAAGGTCAAGTGTGGAAAAAGTTTATGAATAATTCATTTTTAATGATTTATTGTTAATCGTACTAATTTATTGCAAATAATTTTTACTTCGTCGTTTTTTAAACATGCTCGATTTGTGTTCATTCATATACCGTTCTGTTACAAGTTTTACGACTCACTCTATGCACGCTATATGTTAGGTATTTCTACAACTAGATAATCAACAGTAATTTTCAACTGCTACATTATTGTATTACAAAATATGTAATATCATAATGTAAATATTATTGTTTTACTACTTGTGTACCGAAAATTACACTGTGCTATGTTGTGTTATAGTATAGCTCCTATTTTTATCATACGATCCGTCCTCCGGCAATGTGTTCAACTACCTCGGGATCTATGCAATTCTACCCATTTCCGTAAAAATTTAATAATTTGCTGTTTCGAATAAAATAATAATATTATGAAAACACGTCGGGACCGTAGAAAAATTCCGACAAGGGAGATCTTAGCATTTTATTCAGCTGAGAATCTACGCCGAGTCACACCATTTTTCACGGGTTTCACGGTGTGCGCACTCGTGCGTCATCATCAACGATATGCCTACAAAAGGAACTACCTATTATATTTTAAAGATAACAATAACATAGTGTTTACTGTATAGTAGATCGGAGCGAAGTCGTCGAGTTACCACACCGATAATAATAATAATATGGTCGTCGGCGAGTAAATGCGTAGATACCTATACGCAAATGTGGACACAAACGGCATGCGAAGGATTTGGCAAAAGCGATTGTCCTAAAACGGCACAATTATAATATTATAAATAGGAATACGAGTTCACTGCCGAGGTGGAAAGTCATAGATTTCCAGAGCGGTAAACCGTAATTTAACAGCGTCATTTTTTTAATTCACCATCTGAAAAATGCAACATCAACAATCCACCAAATGCAAAACGCGTTATTGTTTCGCGTCACTATACCATTGTGTGTGTGTGTGTGTGTGTGTGTGTGTGTGTGTGTGAACGAAAATGTGTATCATACATACGCGCAACCCGCAGAAATCGCTGGCCGCGCTCCGAGTAAAGGGTTAAGGCGTTAAGCACATTGGAACAATAGGAATTTTGTAGCACGGGACTTTTAGAATAATTACAACATTGTTTGCAAAAAAATAGAGTACAAAAAATAGTGCCGTTTTTATTTTTTTTTATGATTATATTTTCTACACCAAATGCAAAAACATTTGACAATTTTTTGTAATAATTTTCGAGTGCTTTTGTCTCCGCCAGAGTGGGAACACGTTTCAGATGAGCGGCAACAGTATAGGTACCCACATAGTACAACAACCTGCGGGTCGTCGTAGAGTTCGTACCGTCTATGGGTAGGTAGATGGGTAGGTATAGGGCACTATATAGCTTTGGCTACAATGTTCCGTAAGGCGCCGAGATAATATTAATATGTTTAAAGTTTTGCGTTCAACTCGCACGGCTATTAAAGAGAGTCGTTGGAGACTTGGAGTGCGCCGCATAATAATAATATGTAATCCCGCAATAATTATCGTCGTATTGTCACAGTGCAGCCACAACATTATGTGATTTTCAAGCAAACAATCCGATATGTCGAGCCCACGACCATTCAGACACCGCAGGGACTTCGTGTAAAGTTTAAACGGCTTCCAGTTATATCATAAGCCGCGTACTTGTAAGATTGTACATTCACGCACGTTAACATATATAATAATATTAATATGTTGGTGAAGACATGACGACCATGTATGCAATCTCTGAGGGAATCGTCAAATCTCATCACTCCCGCATTCAGCATATTATGTTATTTTAAATCCCTGCTCGTGAGTCTTATCGAAAAATTATATTATCACTCCAGAAGTCGAATCTATTGTTCTAACTGCCATACGGTTAGTTTCACTTACTTACTTACTTACTTAGTAGCATGGACTAACGTGTAATTGTTTTTTTTATGTTATTGGCGGATTTAAGGGTGGGGGGAGGTGTTTACCAATATTCACCGCCGCTTAATTATAAGTTGTGACAGGTTAAAATGTATACTACTAACAATAGTAGGTACCTATATAATAATAATAATAATAGTGCAAGATAATACATTTAAAAACAAAAAATAAGTTGACTAAATTATTTTTATTTTGTTTTATTATTTGATGATAGTTCATGAACCATGATGAACATACGAACAAGAATTAGATGTTGAAAAATATAGGTATAAGTGCAATCCTTGGATAACATATGTTTCACTAATAATCTTATTAACGTCGAATCAGTTCGGTCCTTCGTTTTTTTTTAAATGTACATCAACAATACCATGTTTTGATGTCATTCAATTAAAATTAGACTCACATTTAACACTAAATTAGAACTTGGGAGTTGGGGGTGCTAAAAAACCTTATGCACCCACCTAGTTGCACTAATGAGGACGTCGACTTAAATATAATTTATGTTACCGTATGAGATTATACATTTGCTATTTTATTCTACATAAGTATGTTTTTGGGCTGAGTACCTATGAATATTTTTATTTTACAACCAATTTTGCGTAACGCTTTATCTAACATTTTTGAAAATAATTTTAAGTCATTTACAAATATAATTTCTCTAAAACAAATAATCGTTGGCTGACAAAATATAATAAAATACCTATAATATAATAGAAAAAACCCAAATTATCATTGATGTGCATATCCGACACATGGCCGGCTACCACGTCATCTTAATACTGATACTGTAATTCGGGTCTTGTGGGGAGGGTTTAAGACTCGAGGATCTCCTGTACCCTTTGGTACATCTGTGGTACATTGGCCGAATTTATTTATAATTAAGCTGTACATTATCATATACAGTTTGTTAACACTATAGGGTTCGGATTTTAAAACATAATAAATAATTTTTTTTAGTGAAAATTCTCACTTCAATGTTCAAATTTCACTGCTAGAACAACTAAAAAAAAGCGATAAAAGAGCATTTACGCAAAAAATAAAATCTTTTATTTAGAATCAGAATTACGTGAAACGAATTTATGTATAAAAATTTGATATCTATCTTATATTTATAAAAAGAAGCATTTGCTTTAAAATCCGAGCCCTATATAAGTTATCACTCTGAAAATTATTTAAATTTAATTAATTATTTAATCTGGTTGGTACATACGGTGGTGTGACGTCCCGTTGTAAAGATTATGTAATTATTGTCGTATGACGATTTTCGTTTACAAACGACCAAAATAATATATTATGCTTGCGTATAGCGAACCTTGAAATAGTTGAAATAATGTATTAATATAATATAGACGCGGGTATCAAAGTCGACAAATGATTTTTAAGCGTTTGGCCTATCAATAATAATATAAGTAATATAATTATTTATTTTATAATAATCGTGCAGACGTAATCATCGTAGACCATAGGTAAATTATAATATGCACAATGTACAGCAGATATCCGGCAATGGTTTTTTTTTGGAGGGGGGGTAGATTAATTGAATTGAGTTTAATGATTGATCAATACGCCACAAAAATGAGGACTAACGGGCGTCAATATTGTACATATTATATTAATACATCATTGCAGAGTTTTCGAAAACGACAGTTTCGTGGACTCGTTGTAGATGAGTGATTTGGTAATAACTACAGTAAATTATTGTAACCAAAATTCCAGTGATTAAGATTTTTATTGAATATACATATAAAACACAACTACATGATATTATTATGTTTATTACATGCAATAGAGGGATTTAAAAACAAGATGCCTGTAAAACAAATTGCGTATATTAAGTATTTTCACAATCGACGAATAGTGCTCACTAAAATGGTGGAGCTGTTTGCCTAGTTCGGCTCGTCTTCGGGGTTGAAACTTATTTGACGCTTTGGAACGCATTCCCGGTGTTGGTTAAACTCTTGACCCTCACTGCAAGAAAATAGTGGAAGCTCAATGGCGGATCGATCCTCGGTACTCGTATCCAGCTTCGGTCTCGGCGAAGTCGTCACAGATGCGTTTGCCAACGACTGGTTAGGATCTTTTCCATCCGGTTGTTCGTCCACCGTCGGTTTTGGCGGTTGCTGAGGTGGTTGCTGCGGATCTTGCTGTCTGTTGTCCGGAGAAGTCGGAGCATTCGTCGCAGATGGCTGCGGCGTCCGGTGTTTGTGCAACCTTGAATGCAACCTCTCCGCAATGTTCGGTAACGGTATCGGTAGCGGTAACTTGGACAGTGGTAACGTAAGAGCGGAGTCGTCGGTGTTACGTTGACTGGATAAGGTGAGGCTGAGTATATGAGCCGCACTGCCAAGCGAGATGGCCGTGGCTATCGTCGCCACTGCCAACAAGTAGCGAGTGGATCCTGCACAATCCATGGCCGTCGAACGTTTGTTACAGTTGTTTCTCAAACCGATTATTTAATACTCAGTGAATTTCACCCAAGCTCACGGGATAGGGAGTAGTATCCACTCTCGAGGTCGGTACGGGTTACACTGGCCGTGGTGCGGTGGTGTTCATTTCGGGCAGTTACAATTTGCAGAAAAGAAACTTTGTATTTTCTCCTACTCTTCCGAGCGCGACTATACCGTCCGTCCCTCCACCTATGAGGCTGCAGGTTACCTCGAATCACACATGTAATGTCGGTACAGGTATGGCCTCAGGCCTGTTAATATTGAGGATGGTTAGTGTAAATATATATTATATTACTAGCTGTCACCCGTGTGCTCCGCCCCCCTTGAATAGTTGTTTGCAAAGTGTCCTGCTGTTTCTTGACTCCACAAATCCTGTCCATCTATCTTACAACGTGTTTTTAGTTTAACAGTAAAAAAATTGGCGAGGCTAAAAACGGTGTGGCATTATATACGTGACAAAAAATCGGGACTTGCTTTTATAGTATGTCTTTTATATAATACTAGCTGATCCCGTGCACTTCGTCGCCCGTTAAATGGATCAACTCAATACTACCTACTCAAACTTTGTTCAATTCATTATTCAATATTCGGTGTATGGTGTTCAAAATTTATCTTATCTTTCCCGTTGCCCTGAATAAAAATTCTGAATCGCAGCAGTACATTATCAGGTAGGCAATCTACCTGCGGTAGATCGCGGACCCCGTGCTGTTTGTACGGAAGTGTATGATTTAACTCTAAAGTATCAAAGTTATACCAAGTTTATTTTGATGTAATACTGTGGATTAATATAATAAATTTGGTTGCTCGTAAAAAATCGCAACTCTTAAAAAAATTATGATTGTTGAACTCCTTTTGGGTGTAATTTTCTGCGGTAAGTGCAACTCTGCCACCCTGGTAAGCATTGTTCAATAATTCGATTTGATGCAAGCTTGTACCTGATCTGCCCGAATAACCAATGGCAACCAATAAATAAATGCTAATTTCTAATGTAGACTGTAACCAATGGCAACTATAAATAAATAAAAATAAAATTTCCAATTTCTATCGTGAATCTCAATGTCCCTGTTTCAGCACCTATTTAAAATGCGAATTTTGGCAAATCCTTTCTTAGCGCACGTCTATATTATAATAGCTATCTGTATGCCAAATTTCAGCCAGATCCGTCCAATGGTTTGAGCTGTGCGTTGATAGCAGTCAATCAGCTTACTGTTTTTTATATACAGATATGGTTGCCATGGTAATATGGACACACACACACACACACACACACACTGACATACATTCATTTTTATATATATAGATTGATATGAAATCTTGGTAACCTTAGTAACCATGGCAACCTTGGTAACCATGGTAACATGGACACACAGACACACAGACACACTGACACACTGACATACATTCATTTTTATATATATAGATATTATATGCCATATATATATAATATGTAGTAGCGTTCGCGGTTATCTATACGAGTGGCTATTTAAGTAATTGCAATACATATAATTTCAAAACACAGCGTACAAAATAATGAAATGCATTGAATGAATACAATGATTTCACGGCAACCAATAATTATTATTATTATAGCTTTAAAACCCATGGCGACCATTTATAAACAAAAGTTTCCACCGTAAATCTCTAAATCCCCGTTTGAGCACATACCCTGGTTGAACCTAGGGGGGTGATTCAGTGAATCTATATTATTTGGGGAGTCACTCAAACGCATACAACAAAATTCTTTCAAATCGGTCCAACCGTTTAGGAGGAGTTCAGTCACAACACACGTACAGTAGAATTTTATAAATTATAATATATTTATATTTATTGTTTGAATGTTATTTATTTTCAGCCAGCGACTATTTCTTACTAAAAAAGGTATACAATTTACACATTTTTTAAAATTAATATTATAAAATATTAATTAAATTAATGAATTTTTCCACCATTTTTTTTTAAAAGTTTATTGTTGACCAATACTATTGAATTTAATTAAACAATATTATTTATTATTCAATATGAAATTATTTTTTTTAAATAAAATATAAAATATATTATGAACATTTTTAATTTTCATAAATATAATAGATCATAAATATTTATTATGTTTAATCCACTGCGGTACTACACTACTTAAAACAATAATAATTTTAAAAAAAATAAGCATAAAATATAATTAAAAATTAATAATAATGGCTAAAATTTCCGACATAAAAATAATACATTTTGTAAAAAACATTTGATTACTGATTCTTTTGTTATTTCTAAACACATATTTTATAGCCTTTGTTCATATTTTTTTTTCTTGTTCAAACTGCCTGCTTGGATATTTAACAATTAAATAATTACTTTTGAATTTGATTCAAGGAGTTAAGTTGATAAAAAATAAACATCTATAATTTATTATATATTTGAAAATATTAGACAATAGGCAAAATAATAATTTCATATTAAATACTTATAACTAGGCCCCGGAACTTGGATGTATATGCATATTTTTTTCTAATGCTTACATTTGAGGCTCGTCTTTACAGAAATTCGATTCATGGAATATAGAATTTTATGGTACAATTTTAATTTTGTATTTTTAGGGAATTTATTGCTTTAAGGTAATTTTTAAGTATTTTTTGTTAATTTTATTAATTTATGTAATTTTTTGTAGATTCTGAGTGGAACGATGAATGTATTGATTTTACAATGATCTGTGTTTTTTTTTTTTGTGTGTCTGTCATCACCTTTTAGGTCAGTAAAAGTACTTGGATTTTCTTCAACAGTATCTTTTCTGATAGGAAAGTGAATCTAGTTGGTACTTTGGGGGGTCAAAAGTAAAAATTGTCCAGTTGTTTTCAAACGCTTCGTTGAAAACAAAAGAAAAATTAAGGAAAAATGGAAATTTTTCACAAAATCTGTTTTCGAGAAAATTGATTTTGGTTTTTGGTGCAATTCTTAAACAAACGATCTTAGTTACATGAAATTTTGACTGACTGTTTATATTAGCATTTTATATACACTTCGATGGCGTAGCGCATAAGTGTGATAAGTGACATTTTCGTAATTGTTCAGGAGAACGATTTTTAAGTTTGAGATGTTATAACAAATTCAAAAATGTAACGAACTGTACGACATCTATCGGAGTAAATAATGAACTATTCACTTACAACGTTTGGGCATAATGTGCAGAATTGTATGATTAAATTGATTATGCACTTAACTCATTTTTCAAAAAAATGTCACTTATCACACTTGTGCGCTACGCCATCGCACCATAACATTTTCCAAATATTTTGACTTATTTTGAGCTCTTTACGGACATTTTCTTTAATTTTTGTTTCTATAAATATCAATACAATTTTATTTGCTGGTTAAAAAAGTTTGAAAATTTAATAGAAGGCTCCTAGTATATAGTTTCAAAGGCAGATGATAAAAATTAAAAACCCATGGACACAATTTTTTTTTAAAAGCATTTATAGTTCAAATATTGACAAAATACGAAAAATTACGAAAATTTGCAAATTAATTTGAGTTAGAAATTCATAAATCTAAGATTTGAAAATGTAAAACAAGATTCCTCATAAGTTTGTCTACCTTTATTAAAAAAAATGTCTACAAGAAAGTCAAATAAAATTTTTATGAGGGTTTAAAATTCATATTTTTACAACATTTGATATTCACTCGATTTCTCATGTAACGATTTACTTATTTTGCTGTAATTAAATAACGAATGACTTTAGATACTTGAAAATTTCATTAAATGTTTATGTTAGAATTTTCCATACACCATAAAATTTTGAAAATATTTCGACTCTTATTGAGCTGTTTAAGGGTTTAAGGACATTATCAGTTTTCAATTATTTTAGTTTTTTTTCTATAAATATTAATAAAATTTTATTTGTTTTGTAAAAAAAAGTGAAAATTTAATGCAAGGCTCCTAATATATTGTTTCAATAGCAGTTGAAAATATTAAAAATACATTGGCACAGTTTTTTTTATAATCATTTAAAGTTCAAATTTTGACAACATTAATCAAATTTAAAATTTAATAATTATTTTGTAGTTAAAAATTTATAAAATGTTCAACTTTTATGGCTAAGGATTGAAAAATTAAAACAAGGTTCCACGTAAATAGGTAAATATATAAATTACTTTATTCACAATAATATAATCAAATATACCTACTTAGTAACATCATTCGCTCACAGAGCCCAAGAGTAATTATTCAATCATTTACAAATTATGAAATTTAATTTCGTTGAATTCGTATCATTGTAGCATTTCGATGAACAATAATAGGATTTGTACATGACATTAAAATCTATAAAATAATATATTAAAATAATGAGTTAATTACTATAGTGTTAACAATTAATAAGCAATATAAATAATACGGATATTCATAATAAGTATTGGTACCTACTTTGTATAATCTGCTATATCCATCAATTGATATCTATTAAGTTTCATAATAGATGAATTTAAACACTAAAAAAGTACGTAATTATAAGCTTAAATGATTATACCAATAATATAATATTATAGTAATACTATTATATAGTCACACTGTTTGCCAAGCGAGTGCTCAGGGATTTTTACTGATTGGAAAGAGGTAATCATCCAACACATCATCCGTCATCGCTGTCATTTTTGGAGATTTTTGGAGCACTCCCCAAGTTTGCTCCTGAATGTTTGTACTTTTTGAGTTAAGATAACAGTGAAGAACTTTCAAAAGCTATTCCGACTAAAATAATGTCCAAAAAAATTGAATAGTATTCGAACAATGTCCAAAAAATAAGTGTATGATATGGTTGTATACTGCTAACTTTTTACGAAGGTGAAAAGCTATATTTTAGTTTATTAGGAGGGCTACCCTTCATGGCCTTAACTCTGGTATATCGAGGTTACAAATTTTAAAAAGTTGGTTACAAATGGTTACAAATTAAAAGGAAAATTATGAATTTAATTTCAAT